TGGACTGACACCACTCTGTCTCTCGCCAGTTGGATTTGTGTTGAAGACATCTATGCAAACATATTTATCCTCAAGTGCTGGAGGGAGTCCGAGAAAGTAATTGAGAGCGTGTAGTGCACATACTGCTTGCTGTACTATTACTGAAGCTCAAACTCAAAGTTTATCAATTTAAATAATGTTTATTGAGTATTAAGTACACCATAATCTGCCTTAAAATGTTGATAACATGTTGCTTAATTCTTTTTCTTTTTTTTTACTGGCATCTCCTTTCCTTATTGGCAGATAATTAATTAATTAATAATAATTGTTAATACATTAATATTTTAATATTTTTTTAGTATAAATGTAACTATTCTGTTGACCAGTACATTATTTAGTAGTTTATTAAATACAAATAGTAACAGTTAGAGCTTCTAAAATAAGAGGCAGTATCGATTAAATATACATTTAAATTTATAACTGCTGGTCAGAGAAAATATTCAATTTAAAGGCTTCAATCTGTTAAGTTGTGACATACATTTCTCTTTTAACATTTCTCATTTTATAAGGTGAGAACTGTGGTAATTTTATTGTAATTCTTCCAGAAATACCCACACACTCAAGGGCAGAAGAAGAAGAAGGTGGTGAAATATGGGATGGGAGGGTTCATCATCTTCGCTCTCATCAGCATCATCTGGTTCCCGCTCCTCTTCATGTCGCTGGTCCAGTCAGCTGCCGGAGTGACCAATCAGCCGTTGGCAGTCTCCATCCAGCTCAGCATCGCAGGATATGAGGTCAGGATGGAAACAAGTTCATTTAACTATGTGCTTACTTTCAACTTTTAGCGTTTGCATGCTCGTATTCTAAAACACTAAAGCTTATTCTCATCGAGGACTTCTTGCTTGTAAAAGGTGGAACAGCCTGTGTATCGCTTGAAATGCCACAGTGAAAAAATGCAGGTGTGGTGTCTCGTGGATAAAGGTCATTACACATCGCCATCATTTAACACAACAGTTTTTCTTTTGCAAAAAAACACTTTTGAAACATTTTACTAAAAACCACAACTGTCAACCTAATGGTGACGCTACAGGATAAGTCAGTGGATCATCCAAAGTCAGTAGGATGTATCCTCTGGGGACCATGAAAGTCGGCACAAAATTGCATAGTGTGACGAACTCTGCCATTTCGCCTCAATTAGTCGTTGCCGTGTTTTCCAGAAACCTGGTAGCAGGAGCTACTTAGGGCTAAGTGGGTAGTTGTTAAGATATTTCAGTCTGGACCAAAGGAGCAGACCGACAGACAGTCGTCTCGAGAGCCAAAGACAACAACCACTCCCCTGCAGGACCATCGTGGTTTATAACAGTGATAACGTTTTCACTTCCCCTTCTAACTGTGCTGTTCAGGCGCTAGCCATTTAGTCATTGTCCATGTCTAGTGTGCGTGTATGTTTTACTGATTGTGTTTCCACAGCCTCTGTTCACCATGACTGCTCAGGAGCAGAACTTGGTTCCGTATACAGCAGCTGGATTCAACAGACTCACCAAAGTCTACGCCACCCATCCAGTAAGATTTCACTGTAAACACTGAACTGAGACCACCAGAAACAGGGCGACAAATTCATAAAACTGTTGAGTCTTTCTACTGTATATGTCATAGCAGTAATTATCTTAATTATAATAACTGCCTGTGGCCACGAGGGGGAGCACCTCTATGTTTGTAGCTATATGTTCATGTAGATGTAAACTTGTGTGGGTCAACTTTTATTTGTTGTTTAGTCCACTTGTGGGTTTTAATGATTTTGTGAGTTTTTTATTTGTTTCTCTTAATTGTAGGATAGCCTGTTATTGTAAAACACAGTATTTTATTACAATTATTTAATGTGGATTTCATGAAAAGGGCTTGCAGTATGTTGATACATACAGAAGTGATTATTTTGGTGTCTACCGTTGGACAAATAGTTAAGATGCATAAGCAAGGCAAGTCTATTTGTGAGGCACCTGTAAACAACAAGGCAAATCAACAGGCTTTATATAAGACAAAAAATGCATTGAGAGAAAAATAATATAAAGGACACACAGTATACTGTAAATAGAGAGATGAGGATTCAATTCATTTCAAAATACCATGGTGACATTTATTGAAATAACCGTGTTAATCTAATTCCCTTCTCTCTCTCACAGTCTGCTATGCAGTTCATAATGAACCACGTGGTGGACGACATTGTTGTCGCTAAGATCAAGAGTGATGCCAGTCTGCTGTGGAGCATCAGCCCGGCAAGTCGAGCGGCCATGATACAGGAGCTCAGCAACTCCTCTCACATGTACATGACCTTACGCTGGACACTGCTCAGGTAAGTGTGTGTGTGTGTGTGTGTCATTGTTTCACAATGCAATGCAGATCAAGTAGGCTTGCATGTGTCATTGTTGTTTTCACGAGTGCTTATGCACAAATGCTTGTGGACAATGTATACATGTACTGGCATGAAATGCATTCGGAAGTATATGAAATTTTCTTAAATACATGTTATTCCGATACCTTTTACAAGTGTTCTTGCTACTTATTGTGCTATGTATATTAGTCAGATTTTTAGCCCTCCATTGTTTTACATATCAAAGAAAGAAAAACAAATGTTCTTAAAAGTCCTTAAACTTGTTAAGTTACAGACTCCATTAATGTGTAATCTGTGCATTAAGTGCCTGTCCATTTATATAATGTCATATTAATTTCTTGGGGATTCAGAAATCAATCAAGTAGTTTACTATAAATGTTCAATTCTTTATGCAGATCTCTTCATTAAACTGTTCGGTAACTTAGTTTTTAAATCATTTGGCTGGATTTTGCAAAGACGCACATAGCATTGAACAAACTTTGGTACCTGTGCTGATTAACGTTCCTCTCCTTCCCTTCTCAGGGATGCGTCCATATCAATGCATGCAGAGACGGTGGGAGAACACACTGTGAAGTTTGAGGACAATGACTTGAGGGAAGGGATAATCCACATGCTCAAAGGCAACAGCACCAAACCTGTGTGAGTCGCAGTGAACACTCACACACACACACACACACACAACCTGTTGGTTTTTACTTGGTTGTGCTATTACTGCTTGTCTTCTTCTGGATTTGAAATGCAATTTGCTTAATGACTACAGATGTTAATGTTGGAGAGTTAAACATGCTAGTAATGGCTACTGTAGTGACCCTGTTGCTTATCAAAAAAGTCACCACGGTTGCTAATTGTTTGTTTAGACGCGTGCCATAAATAACGAAGTCCAGTTTCCAATATAGGCATTTTATTTCTCACATAAACAGAGGCCAACCACTTTCTCTGTCGTAATCCATTTCCTCTATATATACTAAAGAAATCATAACATTAAATGTTACACGGTCAAAAACTGTTTGCTCCTGCTTACTCAGCAACACCTGTCTCAAGTGACCTCCCTGATTATAATAACATGTGGCCTAATTGACAGCGTCACTACGCCCCCAACTGGTGGGAGGTTGTAGAAAACAAAACAATAACAAAATGGCTCTTACAGCTATAATTAAGTAAACTCTAAAAATACTGAAGAAAGCATTACACTTTAAGAGCTGAAATATTGTATGTCATCAACTATTTCTCATTTTACAACCCAGACAGTCCCGCGCAGCATCGCTGAATATTTTCTTCATCTTATTCTGTCCCGTAGGATCATTAATTCTCTGCTACCAAAGTTCCTCAGGGGTCCCAAAGGACCAATATCCAAAATGGCAACCAGGATGACAGTAGGTTAGTTACAGCTCATTGTATGTTGACCATACTACAGACGTTTTCTTCCATGAATTATAGCTGCATTGTAATGATACCATTCAAAGGGATCCATCTTGGATAAGGATCAGGTGGTGATCTCTTGTTTAAAACTTACAGTTTGTTTTTAACCCCGGCATGTTTCCCCTCAGCGCAATCGGACCGGCCAGAACTCCAGGCGCTGTCTTTCTTCAGGCCCATGTCAGTCAATCTTCAACAGGTCAACGGAGGGGCAGACCAGTGGTGGGTGGTGAAGGAGTGCTCCCCTGTGCTCGCCTTTTCCGACCACAAGTGTCACAACATCGAGATTGTGGTGTTCAGTGACAAAGTCAGCCCCTCCAGTCTGGGCTTTCTGGCTGGTCACGGGTAGGTAACAAGACATCTCACCAGCATTGTGACAGTGAAGCTGTCCAGCTGTTGTGCACTCACAGTGGTATCTCTCTCACATTATTCGAACATGTCCACTCTCTCTGCTCCTCTTCACCGCAGCATCGTAGGCCTGTACATGTCGGTGGTGCTGGTCATTGGAAAGTTTGTCAGGGAGTTCTTCAACGGGATCTCCAGGTCCATCATGTTTGAGGAGCTCCCGTGTGTGGACCGGGTCCTGAAGCTCTGTACGGACATTTTCGTGGTCCGCGAGACGGGAGAGATGGAGCTGGAGGAGACGCTCTTTGAGAAACTCATCTTCCTCTACCGATCACCGGAGACGATGATCAAGATGACCAGGGAAAAGAAAGACAGCTAGGGATTTGTTGGAATACCATCTGTTAGTACGGGACATGGGGGGTGGATCGCCAGCTATGGATGTGTTCACACTGAACTCCCATCACTCAAAATGGATATTTCAGAGCAAATAACATTTGGTGCAGAGGAGTCATTTCAGTTTTCTTTCTATTTCAACGTGTGCAATTAAAATGTAATTGCAATTATATAAAAATGGATCAAACTGTTTTCCTTATAGCATTACAAGTAGGAATACCGACAAAAACACTTCTCCTTGTTTGATTGTAGTTTCATTTCGGTCATTAATGTTGGATTCTCTTGTTAGACATCTATGTCCGAGTCATGTTCTATCATTTGCCTGCATCTACAAACAATGACATGTTACAGTAATTTAGAAGGCACTAAACTAGAACTTCAACTAATCTGAACTGCAGTTAAAACAAATGAAGTGCCCGCCAGTTGTTTGCTAGTGTACTTGTTTTTTCAGACCACTGGGCAATGCATGCATTTCTAATGATTTTGGATTCAGATTTTTAATGCTTGTACAGTACACACAAACACCCTCTTCCCCAACATCGTACAGCATCAATGAAAGTTCAACAAACCATTGATATACTCATGGATCAGCACACGCATACCTCTGTAAATACCAGGTTTCTGTACATGACTATGTATACTACTGTACTGATTTATTTATACCAAAATAAAAATTGTTAGACAAAAATGTATTTTGTGTGTCATTCTGCAGTGCTGTAAATACTGTATTCACCAGAAGACAAGAATACAAGGAGACAAAATGTATTTCCGATATCCATTTTTAAATTACAAAGGGAAAATACAGCAATTTCATTCAGGTCATCTTGATGTCATCCATCTTTTCTTGTCTTCTCCCCGGTGTGCAGGACTGGAGAGTGAAAGGACCTCACAACTCAAGGTAAAACTATCTCCATCCCGGCCTCAAATCCTGGAAAAAATAAAATAAAATAGAAACATTACTGAAAATATCAGTGAAAATTATTTTGCATCCCAAACAGAACTAGAGAATCATTCATATCAGTGACTGCAGATTAAGGATTAGTCTACTTGGACAGTAAACTCTCAACTTCTTTTATGACAAAAACTTTAAAGATTTGAAGTTCAACTTTGCAAAGGTCGGCCAAAATGAGTCATGAGCAGTTAAGTGCAAACACTTCCAGTCATTAAACAACCTCCATACATGGGGTCAGTTGAGTATTGTGCATCAGCTTTAAGGTATGAGTAGTTCTGGTATAGGGGCCCTGATCAGGAATAATTTGACCCCAAGTACACTCAATGAACAATGTTGACATGTACCAAAAGACTGCCACGTGTCCAAAGTTGAATTCAACCCAAACCTCCATTTATCTAATTATTAGTTACTTTGGAGATTTAACATACAAAAATACATTGTATGCACGTTCCCAGGAAACTCATCTAGAAAAGAGAATGCATTGTTATAGACGTATAATTATTAGTATTAGTTATAAATGATCACCTTGATTAGGTACAACGTTAAAATGACGACTACATGTTAGTGCAGCAGCAATAATATCACAATGACGATACAGCACTCTGAAAGGTCACCGTTGATACTGAACTGTATATGAATGCAGCGGATAATTCTTCTGCTGCTGCTGCTTTTATAAAAGCTAGGATGCACGTCCTTCACTTGTACTTGAACATTGTTAACTCTCTGAATGAGTCTTCCACCGCTGACACCGCTCAATGTCACAGCCGCCTATCCTCGTCACAGTCGGAGGGCCATGGTGACTTCATGTGCCGGTATGATCAGAGTAATTTATAATATGTGATGAACTTACATGCTGCCGCTTTGGGTTTGATGACTTTCACGTTGGATTCTGCGAGCTTCAAAGCGTTGGCTTGGAACTGCGGCTTCATCGCCGCCCGCACCGCGCTCGCGCAGATAGAGGAGAAGCGGATGTAGCTGCAGGGAGAGAACACTCGTTAGCCGCATGCTGAAGGACACGCGCTACTGACAGTGAAAAACACAACTGCTGCTTTAATGACTAATAATCCCATGCGTTATCAGAAAGAGTCACGTTATAGATGGTTTTCAACTAACGTTATTGCGGCAATCTAAACGCATGGGTGGTAAAGCTAACAGTTAACTAAAGCTAAGCTATGCTATGTCGCCCTCTGAGGATTCAATAGATAGAAAAACAACAAGGACGTTGCGAATGTATTCAGTTATAATAACAAATTCTTATTTACAATAACGTGGTCAACACTGACCACAAAGCTAGCTCTCTACATATACATTATATGTATTTTTTTACCTGAGGCCTGCCTGTCTCCAGTATGCAACCATCTTGCCCGTGTTATGCTTCAAGGACAGATCGGATATGTGCGTGATGACGACATTTGAGGCACGCTGTTCTTTTCCCCGAACCAATAAGAACCGTTTATGATCATGATTGACAGCTTATACGGTCATTTGTCCCACCTCCAGACAACACTTCAACCAGCCTTTTTTTTCTTGAATGATTTGGTGAAATGTCATACAGTCGGTTGATTGTAAATGTACCTTTAGATTATGTGGTGGCAGTAACTGAAGTAAGTTTCCTTTACACAATAAATTGATAGGTAGCCACCACATTTAATTAGTTGTTAAAGAAGATCAAATTACTTATGGGAAAATTGGAAGTATAACAATAGCGTCCTAATTGTATGTATGAAATGATTTTACTGATGACAATACTGTTCTGTTGGTATCTAGTTGGTTTGATGTATGATGTTGCTCAGTCAGCTTGGGTCCTGCATCTTTTTCATGGCCCCCTTTGGTAGAATTGGAATTACTTTTGATTAGGTTAAGAAATAATAATGCTAATTTATTGAGTTGCTATTAAAGCACGAATGTAAGTATAGGATGCACCGTTTTTTGATCGTTTTTTACTGATGGATTAAAATAAGTTTAAGGTACAATAAAGCAGATGTGCTTTAGTAACGTAAAAGTTCCTCAAAAATGGAGAAAAAAACCCAATACTTGACATTATCAAATAAATAAATATATAATACAAGGATTGTTCTGGACGTTAGAGTGCAGTTCCTGTCTCTACCACCAGGGGGAGCGTCATCGTTTTAAGGTTTTCTTCTTCATTTCTTGTCTCTACCACCAGGGGGAGTCTCGTCCTTTTAAGGTTTTCTCCTTCGTTCCTCACCGCGGTCACAGGCACCCGGCTCCCGAGCACTGACAAGAAAAGCCTAACAAAAATGAAGATCTGGGCGTCAGAGCACATTTTCAAGTAAGTATTTTTCTGTCTGTGACGATGCCTTAAAAACACGTAAATCTGTTTAGTAACTGTTTTTCTTTCGTGTGATACGTTACCGTTACTGTCTGCTAGCCTCCTTAGCTGCTATGGGGCTAAGGTGAACTGTAACTAACCTTATCTAACGTGAGCTAAGGTTAACTGTAACTAAACACTAAACTAAACACTAAACTAAACACGCTCGCGGTCATGTTACTTAACTGTGTGTCATTCATGTCAGTAATCACATTCAGAAAATGTGACTTATATTCATCTCTATGGTTAAAGTTGTTTCAACAAATCTCTACACTTGTTGGTATTTGTCTGCTAGAAGTAAGCTAAGCTTTAGCTAGCGTTAGCTGAAGGTTAGCTTTGGGCTGTTAGCTTCAAAGCTAACTTTGTTATTAGATGCTGTAACGTTGAGTAGCTCAGCCGTGTGTGTCATTTTAAATGTTAAGTGTACTGAAACGTTTCAGCCACACGTTCACGTTATTCTAAAGAAATGATTTCCGTGATATTAATGTGTCTGAGCCGCGATCATTGGTGTTGCATAACGGTCTGTCTGTCAAACGAGAGACCATGATGCGTCTATTGTCTGTGTGTTTGTGCTCACTAGACAGTAGTAAGTGTGGAACAATGGTCGGAACATTGTTGTCCGTTTCCATAAGTTTGTAGTTAAATCCACGATGATGGTCCTTTCTGTGCAGAGGGGGCATTCCTCCTCCGCCTGTCAGTCTATGGATATCTAGGTGATTCCTCCATTTTGTGTCTGCACCAGTCTTTAATATTGACAATATGACATTTGAACCTTATTTTACATCATATTTTTGTTACATTATAAGGCAGGGCACGGACCATTTTCACTTTTTACCTCCTGAGTCCTGTGCATAATAACTGAACTTCAAAGTTATTTGATTGTCAGTTTGTTGTCACATTTATCTCGCAAGACAGCTGGATTCTTGCGATGTCACCCACAGCAATGCATTTTGTTTTGTGTGTTTGTGTGTGTGTGTGTGTGTGTGTGTGTGTGTGTGTGTGTGTGTGTGTGCGCAGTGTACACGTATCATAATGTAAATATTACAGAATTGGCTGACATTGACGGTCCGCAATCCTTTTCCAGAGTGTTAAATGACCTTTAGGAAGTTGCTAAATGTTTATTGTTTTTTGACAGCCATCCATGGGAGACGGTGACCAAGGCGGCGATGCAGAAGTACCCCAACCCCATGAACCCCGGTGTGTTTGGTGTGGATGTTCTGGACAGAAGCGTGGACACAGAGGGCCGGTTACACAGTACCAGACTGCTCAGCACAGAGTGGGGGCTTCCCGCCATGGCCAAGACTGTAAGTTAAGATGATGAAACGCTTGAGCTGCTGCTTTCTTTTGATTGATGATAGGCTTGTTCGAGATGAACTCCGCCTGGCCTGATCTTTGATAATCATGACGGCGTTCATGGTTTGACCTCCTCAGTTTGCCGCTGTATATAAATCACCTAGCCCTCGCAAGCTAAAGAAATTCAAAACACGACTCAATAGTTAAAATAATTTAGTAGAGGAAAGAAACACAAGACAATAGTATTTATTATTATTATGTGCGATATTAAGACTGTCAGTGCTCCACATCGTTATTTAAAGGTCCTCACATCCCACTTGTTGGCAAGAGGTTTTTTTAATTTATTTTTTAAACCAATCCTGTGTTGTGTCCTTTTCCTGCAGATGTTCGGGGTAACAAGAACATGCACTTATGTTCAGGAACATTCAGTTGTGGACCCCAAAGAGAAGAGCTTTGAGCTGAAATCTACAAATGTAAGTAGTGCTTTCATCATTGTTAATAAACACACTTTCTGTGAGAACCACTGAACACTGATACAAAGTGTGTGAGGGCAGGACTGAAAACAAATACATGGCCTCCTCTTTATCATCTGATTGATTACAGGAGGTTATTTTGGTTGAGAAATGCTGTCGATTAACACTTCATTATATCTGAGGACTTCAGGCATTGTTTCTAATGGAACTTTCATATCTCTGGGAAAACAAAATAGATTTGTGTCCACTGCTGAAGCTAAACTAAGCTAAGCTGTAGTAGGTTCCTCAGTCAGCCTTGACACCTGCTTCTCATTAAGAAGCCATTCACATACCAGCCTTTTAGCTGCCTCCATAGTGTGGAAGACTTTCTACTTCCTGATTGTTAGTTTGTTTAATGTCATGTTAGTGACTTGCTTATTCAGATATCCATTTACTGACACTACACAGCAGCTGGAACCATCGTTAATGTTATCAGTTGCACCTGTGTTTTTCCTGACCTTTGTCGTTAACTACGACAAGCGAAAGGATCCGTGTCTGGGGCTTTATGGCTCTGTTCTTACTGCAGCTGCTGTTAAATCTACTAAAATGCCCGTAGACAACGTAAATATTGTAAGTGAGACAAAGACTAAATGTGACTGTTTTGTCTATCCAGATCTCCTTCACTAACCTGGTGTCTGTGGATGAGAAGTTGACGTACAAGCCACATCCGCAGGATCCTGAAAAGTAAATTAGTTTTCTTTCATAAATGTCTAATGTCACCCGCGATATTTATCATCATGATTAATTATTTGTTTATGTTATTATCTCTAGTTCGGCCCTTTTTATGTGTGCTTATGTTTGAGTATTTTGGTTTATTGCAAAAATGTTTGGTAGTTTTTAATTGAAAGATTATAATCTATAAGAGATTTACCTTGAGTCGACTGTTTTGTGACCTTTTTATTTGTGTTCTCAGGACGGTGCTGACCCAGGAGGCTCTGATCAGTGTGAAAGGCATCAGTCTGAGTAGCTACCTCGAGAGTCTCATGGCCAAGACCATCTCTGCAAACGCTGGCAAGGTGAAGCTGCCCTTTTTAAATTCTCCTGATAACTCGTCATGATCCCTCTCTTCATAGCAATGTGCCCGTCACTACACATTCTGTTTTGTAATACTCTCCCTCCGTCTGTCTCAGGGTCGGGAGGCAATGGAGTGGGTCATCAGACGATTAAACACAGAAATCGAGGAGTTGGCGGCGACCGCTCGTGGTACTATACGTGCGCCAATGGCGGCAGCGGTCGCTGACAAATGATCCCGGCCTTCCCACTGCTTCGTCCACCGCCATGAACCGATGGGTCTCTGACGTTTCACCTCACCTAATCTGCCAACACAGCCCCATCCGCCGGCCCTATGTACTTTTTTGTTTCTGTGCGTTTGTCCCTCCTCAGCAGTCTGCGCAGACGAGTTTGATTCTTGCCGCCGTGGGCAGTGACGGGGAGTGTTGAGCTGATGGCATTTAAAAAAAAAAAAAAAAAAAACCCAGTTTAATCGGACTGCATTTGAAGCTCAGTCTTGTGGTGTTTAAGCTCTTATTTTTTTAATTCACATAGTGCCTCCATATTTCATCTATTTCTTCTCGTCTGTCTCTCCCCCCCCTTCATCTTGACTTGTTCATCTGTCTCTAATGTTCTCTTCTTATTGTTTCCAAACCCTCGTTAGCAGGTTGAGTACTGGTAACCGCTGAAATTAAGTCACTTTTCTCTAACTTTTTTTCTGGATTGGCTGACCTTGCTTTGTACAGCAGAACTGACCAAATGATCTCAAAGCCACATGCGGGCTGTATTATAGTGACGCACTGCTTCAGCACTCGTTTCTTGTGGTATCGAAGCTCCAGGCTTTTTATTCTCCACGGTCATGCGAGGTCAGATAATCCAGATTAATCTGCTGTCTTTTCCGCCACCTGGACTTTCTCACAGATGGATTTGCTGTGAGCTGCAGTCGGATCTGAGTTCAGACAGGAAGGCCCTTGTGGGTGTACTTTCATGGTGCTGTAACACTTACGGTGCTTGTCCAGTTCTTGTACAGCTGACACTCGTGTGCCATCAGGTGGAAATCTACCAGCATGGTGGACTAACGACTACTTTATTCTGGTCATACAAATGGATGAAAATGACTTTGTTTCTTGAAGTCTTTCTTACCGTTTGTTAGTTTTGTCTCTTACACTGATGTGTTGTGTTACAGAATATGACTGTGCGTACTGAATGTCTAACTTATTTTCAGCATGTTCACTGAAATGCGTTTAAAGTGCGGAATTGTGACTGTTCAGCAGTGTTGCAGAAGGAGCTCTGCAGGGTTACATTCAGGATCACTGAGTGTGCGAACTGAAAATGTGAAGATTGAAGTAATAGTACTGATTTAATACCCCAAAACACTTTATTTATGATCTTGTCTGTTTTCTTAATGTCTATAGATGGTGTTATTTATGGTATATTTGTTTTAGTGAACATTGACAAAGTCTGTGTTCATTTTATTCTACATTTAACTTCTTTATCCCACATCAGACTCTCAGGTTGACTTCAGTTCAGTTCCCCTGTTTGCTCCCTCCTTTAAGACCACATTAAGATGAAGGTAACATTATTGTAACTCTTGTTTGTTCTTTTCTGCTCTTCTCCTCTTTTGGAATTTAATAAGGACAGTTCTACAGATTTAAGTTTACATTAAAGGGGTTTGTGGTACAATGAAAGCTATTTGAAGTTTGTTAATAAAACTCGGCATCACAAGTGTTCAAAGACGCTCCACGGTTGGCATCCTGCTCAACTGTCATTAGTTCAGTAGATTGGTGTATACAACAGGTCAGTCTTTCTCACGCCTGCTTCCAGTTCAGCTGAGCTTCTTGTTCATAATAATCTAACTCCTCGTCGGGTCCAACTCAGGATCACGCAGTATGAAGTCTGGTCAGCTGTCTAAATGACCCAACAGCCATTTGGTAACCTCACCTTGTCTCCTTTCATGACTGAAGTGTGATGTTTTTCTATGGTGAAGATTTTAGGAACAGTGGCTGTAAATAGGCTTATATTTATATTTTGGTGGTGTTACATTCCAAGAATGTGAACGTGTAAAAGGATCCAAATAATGCACACTGAAAAGTTTCAAAATAAAGAGATGTCATTGTTTCATGAATATGTTGGTGGTGTTCTTTTCAAATGTGTGAACTCTTGAGGTTTATTTTCCCAAACTAAAAATATATGGACCCCCTTAATCAACCCCTTCCAGTGAACAAAGAGATGAATTAGTCAGTGAACATATGCAGGTAATTGGCTCCTGACAGTTATTGAGATTACCAGGAAACATGAGAAATGTATCAGATCCAGTTTAAATGTAATGTGCTGTGGTGGTACTATGAATATGGACACAGCGTGCTGTCCAAAACCAACAATCTACAATATGAACGACACCGCCAGAATACAAAAAGTGTTTTATTACCTTATGGTTTGAAACAATCTGATTTGAGCCTGAAAACCATTTTAGAAGCATTTATAAAGATGAGCTGTTGATTTGACATGAATGCTGTAGAGTTGTAGGTTGTGATTATATACTGCGTAACAAGGCCTGTTAATCATTTACAGTCCAGAATACAGAGTGGGGTAGATGCTTCACCTTGTAAACACATCTGTATCGTGATGTATCCGATATCTACAAATGCAGTTAGTTCACTGGTTTGAAGTGAGGTGAAGAGCGTCTGTGCTTTATGGATTAAACAGACCAGTTTGTCAGTTGAAGCCTCTTGTCTGTTTACAACAACACGGCATCTGAAGCGATGGCTATAAATCCCTGTTAAAAAATATAGGCAAAGATCAGCACAACACGTTCTGCTCTTAATCCAAACGTTGACCTAACATTCATGAGTAATCTTTTGCTAACACTGACCTCTTCCATCCCCAGAACTGTGTTGATCAGCTGTGCGTGTTTGGTTCCGGGTAAACCAACACCTTTGCCCAGTTCCACTGAAGCAGACAAGTACCAGCAATGTACACGACACATTATGTTCAGTTGGTTGGATTGTATCGGCATATTGTGAAGGACAAAATGCGTTGTTTCCCTCTGTGTTGCTCTAATTCATGTTGTTAATTGCACCTGTGTTCCCCCTGCAAGGACACGTTAAAAGGGCTGCTGTGAACACAAAAGCACACTCACCGTTCAGCTTTGCAAAGACGAGCACCATGCCTGCCTTCATCGAGTGTTCCAAAGTATCAGTCTGCAAAGAGAAACGTGTGAATCATTTCAGTCACTGTATTTTGTACACACATTAGGCTTCCTGTGACTATAGCGTGGTGTGGTTATGTGTCACGTACCTGAAAGGTTCCCACTTCACTCGACACCAGCGCCACTGTCAAGCTGTTTGAAAGTAAGTCATATTATTAAGTCTACTTTAAGTTTGCGTTTGTGAACTCAGGCTCAGGTGTGTTTTAAAAACATGGCGATGCTCACTTATCCAGTGTCACGGAGCCCTTCAGTAGTCCACCAGCAATCCACACTTTACCGCTGTGTGTGGAGTCCTGAAAGAAAGAGGTTTAAATAACAACTACAACCAATGATTATTTATCACTAATCAGTGGTTTTAGTCATTCATTGTTTAATATATTACATGTAGGAAACCCACATTGGAGAACGGTTAGTTTGCAGCATTTTTATTTGATAAATGACTCGGAGTATTAATAAATGATCAAAATAGTTGTCCATTTATTTTCTGTCAATTAAATTTTGATGAACCAACAACTCCTCTCAGCACTAGAATTTATCTGAATGTATTTGTATAATATCCACTATACGACTACTTTGATGCATTGTTGACATAAAGAGTAAGTACTCACAACATTGAGTTTGAACAGCGGGGTCTCGGTACCATTTGGTTGGATGGCGAAAGCCTTGACAGTGCCTTCAAAACCCAGTTTAACAACACCGGGCTGGAAGGAAAACATTGGCACTTTTCTGGCATAAACCTGCAGACTCATCAGAAGTCCGGGAAACATCTTGGGAAGCTGCAGCGAGATAGAAAGAATAAGCGTAAAGAGTAAATGGTTGTGAGACAGTTGAGATTCAACTTCAAGCAAGGAGAGATACATGACAAGCTACAGACAATGCAGAAGTTAATGGACTTGTGTTTGTAATAAAGTTGCTTTTTCCGGTCCTTCGGGTTCATTTCATATCAGCAATTTTTTTTTTCCAAATGTTCTAAAGTGCAGGTGGCAAGGTAGACTAGCATGGAAGTAACATGTCAGTTAAACAAGTGTGGGTGAGCAGTAACTCAGGTCCAGATAAAGAGCATTATGGCGCATAAACATGTGATGTAGAATGTGAAAAAGAACATGCACTAATGTTTAAAAACCTCTGTAGTGTCAAAAATTAGTCAGTTAGAAAATGAGATGAAATCCATGGTTGTGCATTGGTGCTGTCTGCACCGGTTTATGAAAATAAAAAGTAAAAAATCCTCCTGACTTCAAATAAAACAGGTCCCACATTTGTATCAAATGTTTTTGTCCCCATGACATAATTATATGCGGTTCAATCACTTGCACATTTACCGGATGACTGTTGATTTTGAATGACAGTGTTTAAAGATTTTTGATCACTGAATTTTGCTATTATACTGTATATGTGATGGCATGTAAATATGTTTTAAACATGTTCATCATAAAGGTAGGGGATCATACATGTCAGAAGCAGTACTGCTTTTTGATAAAGGAAAAATAAAACCCTTCAGTGTTGCCAAATGTAACCGTGATACACACTTACCTGAGGAATGAAAGGCCCCATCCAGCTGGTGTTCAGGTGCATGGGGAGGTATGGAGGTATCTGAGATGATGACACACCATTGTTTTTAACAGTATAGACAAATATTAGGGCAGAAAGATTGTGTTGCCATTTGTGTTTCAGGTGCTCTTACCATGCTGTCGGTGATGACGGTCTGAAGCAGGCCCGCTTTGTAGAGTACGTAAGAGGCGGAGTTCAGAGTGAACTCAGACAGGCCCACTGACAGCATGTAGCCCGGCTGCTCGGGCATGGTGAAAGGCTGGGCCTCAAAGGGAGGTTCTGTATGACCTTTTATATTGTATAACTCTCCCTTTAAATGAAGAGTTGCAAATGATCATTTACAGCTATTGATCACTTTGTTGTTGTTGTTATTAATTCTTTTCACATGTCTTGGCACTCGCCCTATAGTAATAAATGACTGCCATAGGACATAACTTGGACATACGGTACACCTATAGTTCTGCGTTTATACCATCATTTCTTTCAAAGATCTGCCTGAAATGATGTGGCCAAAAGTCAGAGGTCTTCCTCTATACAAAAAATAGATTGTAGAGTGTGTGCATCCTTACCTTAAGACCTAGATTCAGACTTGAAGCATTAATGACGGGCATGCTGGTGAGAGGGAGGTCAAAAGTAAAGTTTTCCCCCACATCAAAGGAAACTGATGAGTAGAAATCATATGTAGAGTGAATTATCTATTCGTGGATTTGGACGATGTAACTGGTATCAACATGGACATTTTTAGGCTCTTTTTGAGGATGCGGCCTGCTGCAATACCTTTCATGGCCTGTAGGTGGTACTCCAAGTTTACGATGGACTTCTCCACTCCAGGGCAGATCTATGGAGGAAAAAAACAAGGCAAATATCCTACAATGCTCATCACTAAAAGTCTGTACAATATGTTTCAACTGAGTATTGTCTGATGATCATACAGCATTGACAGAGTACTGATAAATGTGACAGATATACACTCACTGAGGCCTCTATTTCATCCTTGATACACCTCTTTAAATACTCCACAAAAGGCTTGAACATCCAACTGTTGACAAATGAAAATGCAGGGCTTACATCCAGACATCAGTATTAGTTCTATTCCCCTTCCTCTCCCTGTCCCTGTGTTTTACTGTACCTTGCTCCACCCTGAAATCGTACGTCCACATCTCCAACATGAGCTTCACAGTGGGCACTGGTGACAGACAGATGCCCGTCAGCGTCTTTCCCCAGCTTCACTACAGAGGTCACATCCATATTAAATATAGCCATGTCGAATGATCCCCCGTCATGTCTGAAACACACGCACAAACAAAGTCAGTACATGTGGTGGTGGTGAACATTTATTCATGCAGTTAACATATCCAAAGCCACTACCGTGTGTGTGTGTGTGTGTGTGTGTGTGTGAGTGAGTGTAGCATACACACAAATGAAGCAGACTAACCTCAGTGACTTGTCCAAGTTATAACATATTATGCGTGCATTGCAAAAAAAAACTTGGTTGCAAAGCCATCTTCATTATGAAAGTAAAAAAATTCAGTTTCTCTTCCGCATTGTTTCCTTCCCGTGTTTTCTTGATTGTATCTAAATGGTGGTTTGCCATTGCTGGCATACCAACTTGCTAACAATTCAAGCCTTTGTAACGAAATAATAAATCAGTCACATTAAAATCCTTTGAAAGAATGGGCTCAGCTCTGTAGTCCAGACTGGACATGTTCGAAATATATAATTTGATATAAACTCCATGTTAAAACAGGCCTCATAATATACCCAGTTAGCTGTAACTTTCATATTCAACAGAAACTGGGTGGATGACTGTGGTTATAAACTGATACACATAGTGGCCTCATGGTACTGGGTGAAAGAACAGGAAGTCACCTAAATTACTGTTTTTTTCCTTTTGGATCTTATCTTAAGGTTCTTAAGCTTATATTTCTAGGGGCGTAGTTCCCCAGGTGGCGTTGCTGGTTCCCTCTCATTTTCCCCTCAAGGCCCCGCCACACTAACACCTATTATAATCTAACTGACACCATTTGATCCAGGATAGTGTGGCAAGTTCTGGTTTCAATTAATTTCTAGTAAAATGATTAGTACTGTTTTGTGACTTAAAGGCCAACATAAAGATCACTTTAATTTAAAAAGTTAGGACTGAGTGTCATAAGTGAACCGGTGATTTCTCTTTAAGAAAATAGCCAATGATGTTTCATACAAGAGTACAGGAGTTGAAACAAGACATCACTGGAGACATGATACCTTCGAGGAGACACTTCCTTTTCTAGTTGTTCTCAGATGAACTGACAAAACAAAGGCTATTTTAAATTTTAATATCACTTCCTCATTTAGGCTTCATGTACATTTCTTTCAACATTTCAAACTGGTGTGTAACTTATACATTTGAATTACAATATTTAATATTGTGGTAAAGAGGATAATCAGGTTACCTCAGGTGCTCTGAAGATTTGTCTTTTGCCCAAAAAGAAAACCTGACAACAAACCTTGAGTGAACAGCTGTGGGGTCACTTGCTTCACGATGAAGGAGTTTAAATGTAAGACTGAGGTCGGGGGAAACTCACATGAGGCCAGCATGTGTCGTCCACCTGCCGGATACTGCAACACTGAGGCCGGAGCTGGATGTGTTGAATCCTGTGATGTCCTGATAGAACTCAACAGATGGCTCTGGAAAGTCACACTTTGTGATGTTGACTCTAGTGCACATGGGGAGAGCAAAGACCAGTGTGAGGACATGGATCTGAGTAATTTGAAAATGTCTAATGAAATAAATCAAGAATGTTAAATGTAATCTTACCCTGATAATGTGTAGTGTATGAAGTGCAAGATTGTACCACTGATGTCAGGGAGAGTGACGAGATCCAGCCTCTCCTGAAGCCATCCTGCACCTACATGCTTTCCTGGGACGAACAGCACACGTGTACAGTTTTAATAGTTTTGAATGAAAGATGTTTCATTGACCGTTTTGTTGGGTTCTTTATGAAAAGACTAATGTAGCTGCACAGCAATCTAACTCCCCCAAAGAAGCAATTATTTTGTGTTTGAATAAAGTTAACCGAGTGAAAAACACCATCTCACATTGACTTACCGTACTGAAGTCCTTTGTTAGTCAAGGTGACTTGTAAAGCAGGATTTTCTCCATAGGTAAAGGAGACAAGCATGAGCACTACTATCACAGGTCGGAGCATGTTCCTGGGTCCTCTGTGGCGCAATGTACCAAATACTTGATACAGATATGCCAGCATGAAAGCAACTGCAAAACTCTGCACAGTCAAAGAACCACCGACACATGTAATTTACATTTCCACGTTAAAAATACATTCTAAAATCAAACATACTATTCTCGTTTGACCTGTTGTTGTGATATTATGTAGCACGTACCTTTAAATACTGCCTGTGATTTCACCAAGTTGAAAGTCAGCTCCTGAACAAGCGTCCTCACTGTTTTCTCTGCTGTTGATTTGTCACCACCTCCGGTTTCCTGTTCCTGAGAAGTGAAACTTACTGACGTCTGACAATAAAAGACGCGGGCGTGTGTGTGACAGAGCATAATCAAACAATAGTATCCTGTCTGTGTTGTTCAAATACTTGGGAGAATGTGTCAAGAACAAAACAAAGTGAAGGTTTTAGGAGCTCAAGTGTTGAATGTCATCTATACTTGAAGTACAATAGCCAAGATCAGTGTTGTTAAAGGTTAATTTGAAAAGAAAGAAGTTATTTGAACAACTTCCTCATTCTTTAAAAAAAGGCCTGATGTGGCCCACTAACATAAAAAGGAAGTGATAATCATCTCACATGTGTGCCTGGAGGTATGAAGCTGACGACAGTTATATTGTTGATAATCAACAGGGCCGGGTTTTCACACATGTCTGCTATATGCTGTTTTTGGAGGCTTCTGAGCTCTGTCAAGGATTATTTAGATAGGCAAATGCAAATTGTTGTTTTTTAAGAAAGGGAATCTTAATTAACATTGTAAGAGTGAGTTGAACTGAGCCCAGGACAGTAGAACTACAAGAGGAAGTGAAACCAGCAAGGCCTCTCAGTCATCCCTGGCTACATTTCAAGGAATCATTAGAATCACCAGCCATAAAATATTTGATTTATTTATCTCTTAATTCAACAAATACTCTTTGTCTCACACACCATGGTTAGTTCCATTAAATCACAATTAACAAGTTCAATAGGAAGAGAATATTATCAGACAGACATTTTTTTCATATAACACATTTAGGACCCACTTGCTTGCACTTTGAATTCACTTCATCCAGAATGACACTTGAAACACCAAGAAAACAAATGAGCCAACAAGTACTACTATAGGCATAAGATGGAAAATAAAACACTAAAACCAAAACAAACTGAAATAAAATTGTTTAAACAACTACACATACGTTTTTTTTTTTTTTTTACGGTTTATTATAATCCACAGAGCACCATCTGATCTGATGGGTGCGTTGATATTTTCTCTGGAGTGGGATTATTGATATATCTAGCAGCTCAAAAACCAATAATTACATATTCACTCCATTGTTTTTCACATATTTCATTCCCCAGATATAAACACGTATACACAGTAAGACCCATGGTAGACATTTTCACTGGATCTTTGACAACTTTGCATGAAGACTGATACCTGGACAGGCCTTTTAATGCCCGCATATTTATTCACCCCTTTCATGCGGAGGTTGTATTCCTCTGTCCAGTCAATAAAACACATTTTCTGGAATGAGTTGAATACTTAACACTATGATTAAAAAGTTTATTATTGCACATTATCACGAAGGCAAAATAAAAAAAGATGTACATTTCACACAAATAATCATCCTCATGAGCTTCTTTGTCAAGTGGTTAACATGATGTTTTGATAAGGTCTTGCGCCATGACAACTTGCCAGAGTGTGACATTTTAGCGCATCGCCATTCAACCAAGGTCATCTCTGAAGCCCTCAGTCGTGGATATTGTACCTGTACGCCTCTATGAGTCCTTCGACCGAGTGAATGAAGCCAGATATGGCGCATATGCCCCCAATAACAAAAATGGCAACGTCGAAGAAGACGTGGTGCCACAGGAGATTCCTCCACTGGAGCTTCAGGTGGAAGAGGCTTGGCAGGAGGAAGCATAGGCCAGCGCCGGTGAGGCTCCCAGTTAACCCCATAAGGAGGGCGAAATGGGGGACAAAGACGGCCATGAGCAAGGTGAAGACTACCAGGGCAATTCGAAGTCCCAGACCCCATGATTTCAGCTGCCCGCCAGGGCCGTAGCAGTCAGGGAACATGGCTCTCCCGCCATCCTGGAAAAAGGATTTCTCCAGAACCTCAACTGCAGCAAAGAACGGCAGCGGGTAAGATAACAGCGCCTTGGCAACGAGGAAGAGGTTCACCACAGCCCGGATGGTCGAAGGCAGGTTATCTGTGATGACCTCTTTGGTGGCGTCTGCCCAAGTCAAGTAGGCCACCAGGGCGAAGAGGCCCTTGAGGACGCAGGCTGAGATGTGAGTCCACTCCATCATGCAGTGGAACTCGCTGGGCTTCTGCATGTTTCCCTCCAGGGAGGGGAGGAATATCTGGGAGGTGTAGCTGAACACGATGATGCCGATTGAAATGGGGAATTTCTTCACATCGATATAAAACTTGACCTTGTCCCAGGCCCAGTCGCGCGCCCTGGAGAGGCAGTAGGCAATCACGAGGACATTGATGACGAAGTGCGCCATAGTGCAGAGCAAGCTGAACTTGGACACGGCCTTGAGGTTCTTCAGGAACGCGCAAGGCAGGAGCGCGACCGTGGCCACCACAGACCAGGCCTTCTGGGAGACTGGGAACCCCGGGAAACTGTTGACCATCAAGTTGCCGCTGACCACAACGTAAAGAATGCAGGTCATGACCAGCTCGATGATCTGGGCGACGTTCACGACGTGCCCGCCGAGCGCTGGGAAGCGGGGCGCGCAGCAGGCGTTGGCGATGTCGGTGTAGGTGTCCCTTACGCGCACTTTTATGCCGTCCTCGTTCTCCTCGTACAGACACGCGATGAGGATTTTTCCGGTGTAGCAGCACACCACGGCCGCGAAGATAATGAGGAAGAGACCGAGGTAGCCACCGTGGAGGATGGCGTAAGGCAGGCCGAGGACGAACATGCCCTGCGGACAGAGAAGCGCAGTTGAGTGGTAATGGACGAGGCCCACATCGCAGTGACAGGCCAAACCATCCCAGGCATGCAATGACATGGCTCACAGAGCTCACATCTTACATAATAACTGTAAAATATCTATCTATCTATCTATCTATCTATCTATCTATCTATCTATCTAT